TTTGCATGGTAATGACTATGCCTTCGAGTGTCTATAACTGGACCCAGCCCGGTACTGTACACTTACATTTACATTTAGAAAATATATAATGTGTATGTAGTCATGTGTGATATGGGAGAGTGATTAAGTTTGTCTATGTATTTTTTGGTCTGTCACTCTCAAAATGCACACACGTATATGCTGTATACTATAAATACAGAATATATACACGTAAGCATGTGTTTATATATACTATTTATACATACACAACGAAGAGTTTGTACTAGTATCATATACTATACACATTGTTTACTTATCTTCACACACAAGGAAACACGCATGTATTTTCTCTTTTTTTCTTTTCTTTTTTTTTCCTTTCTTCCCTTTTTCCCAACTCTAGACACATATCCAGTGCCCAACTATGGTGGTTGTTTGTCATGTCTCAAAAGTTAACAAGTGCTACCTTGTCAAGCCTCAGTGTTGCCGACCATGCCAGGCAAAGTTTAAGATCAGTCAGTCACCCTTCCCCGCCAGCATCTTGGCAATATCACCACACGCATCTCCATCAACACCACACTCCATCACACGGTCATCACCATCCGCCATCACCCATACGCCGCCGCCAACTCCTCTCCTGCTAAGACTGACATCCATAAAGTAGTACTATTTACTGACAGGTCTGGGCGTGGTGGGATGTTTGTCGCTAGAGTCCGCGGTATCTCGCAATCTTATAGGATATTCGACCTTCGTTGTGCGTTAACCTCGTCTTCTCTTCCCACCGAGACTCGGGTATGGTTAGCTGGCGCTGCTGCCGTTGGTAACATTGCGTATAGCGAAATAATTATATACATTTACAACAAACATGCTAGCATACTGTCATGCTCTGGGTGAACATGTATGTACACTTCAAGATAGTTTTAAAAAGTAACGTGTAACCTTTTGAAATATATGCCGTCGTGTTTGTATTTTCGTGATTATATCAATACGAAAAAAACAACAACAACAGCAACGAACTGGTGGCTCTTTCGTGCTATCAACAACAGCAGTAAATATGGTTTAATTATGTGGACGCGCAACACTTTACTTGAAGAGAGAGACGGGACGAAGTTACAGCTAAATAAAGAAAGAGACCGCGGGGCCATTTAAATTTTATTGTTCACTGCCACGGAGGAGGCGCGCGAATCTATTCGAAAAGTCATTAGCAATGAAAATATATCTATATTTGTATCTATATTTTATATCTAAACCGTATTTATTTACCGGTTTAGATATTTATCTATAGTATTATAATAGTTTTTTGTTTCAATTATGAATCGTATTATGGCAATATGCATTTATCATTCATATATTCTTTTTATTATAAACAATTTCTTTGGTGTCAAAATTCCTGGATATAGAGATCAAGGGAGAAGGGATACGAGGGCAGTGTCGTAAATTGAGAGGGATAACGGCGTAACATATTTTAGTTGCCAGGTCATTTAAGCGTGTAATTCTTAAGTAACATTTTTATCACATGTGCAACGGGTCCTATACACAGCTAAGGTCTAAAATTTATTGCTCCGGTGTCAAATAATTTATTTGTATTCGCGGGTGAACCTGTTTTTGTTATGGGTGTTTGTGAATTATACGTGTTTCTCCATTTTGCTTTTACAAATCATTTTTATTTTTTTCGTTCTCTGGGGACAAGTAAAACCGTGGCCTTTGATGGCGTGGCGTTACTCTTTTCTAGACATTTACAGCTTTTCCCATATGGTTAGATTTTTTCTTCTTTTCCTCCTTTTTTTTTCTTCTTTTCCTCTTTTTTTTTCATCTTCTTGTAACCTGAGGATAATCTTACGATATCGGACGTCACAACTGACATGTTTCTCGCGGCTAAATCTCGAGCCAAATCTCAGTTCGAAACGATAGATTCACCGCCTCGACCTGTTGCCCAGCTAAACACGAGTGAAAAAAATATCCATAAATAACAGCGTAACGAAACATCAAAGAAGAAAAGAAAAAAAAAAGACATATAAACCAAAAAATATATCCATCCTACGATCACACGCGAGAAAGAGAGAAATATATATATATATAAAAAGACAAAAAACAAAAATTTCCTTATTTCTCCTGGAAGTAAAATTCTCCCTCTAACGGGCCAGTCGCCAAGACGGCGTTGCCATCTGAGCGAGTCCTTCTTAAAGTGGGCACGATACCCAACAGTTAATACTCGCTGGTTCCCTTGTGTCCCGGGTGATCCAGACGGGCAGGTCGGTCGCGTGGTATAGTGTGGCCAGTTGTGTGTTGGTCGTGGAAGAGGGAGGGTGTTATAGTGAGGTCGTGGGTTGGTTGCTGTGCATGCGTGCCTTCGTGTGAACTCCGTCGCGGTTTGAACTTTCTTTCGTTCTCGTTATATTTTTTCTCCGTTTTATTGCAAAATTCTGTGGACGTTCTCGTTGAGATTGTGAGAGATTATCGCACTGGATTTCTTCCCCCACCCCCCCTCTCTCTCTTATTTTTTTCGGATTTTGAATTTCTTTGG